GCACGTTAAAAAAAAATCACCATAAGCAAGGTTGACATAGTTATGTAAACAAATATATACATATAAGCTTTGTATATGTATATATCATAGAAACTTATTTACATATGTTTATAATTTACGTATGTTTTGTATTTATATATATTTGAAATTTATTTACATATAATACACATATGACCCCCAATTTTTAATTTTGAAGACTGTCAAAACTATAGTAGCACCCTAACTGAAAAGTGTACCCAAGTTATACATAGGCAACTAACCAAAGAAAAACCACTAATCACCAATAGATTTTTTTTGCCTAATTTCTCTCTCTTTTTTTTAATTGAAGTATATAGTTGATTTACAACGTTGTGTTAGATTCAGGTGTACAGCAAAGTGTTTCAATTATATATATAAACAAAATATAATTTTTTAAATTTATTGAAGCACAGGAAACTATATTCAATATCTTAATTTTTTTTTTCTGGCCTTGCTTCGAGGCTTGTGGGGTCTTAGTTCCCCGACCAGGGATTGAACCCGGGCCACGGCAGTGAAAGCACCAAGTCCTGACCACTGGACGGCCAGGGAATTCCTTTTTTTTTCAATATCTTGTAATAACCTATAATGGAAAAAAATCTGAAAAAGAGCGTGTATATATATATATATATATATATATATATATTAGGGTACATACTGTTAGGACATAACAGCCCAACCTGCTCTATCCACCCTGAGGGGGGCATCTTCAGCCACTGGTGGACCATTTCGAGGACAACAGCTTCTATATGAATCACTTTTGTTCTTAAGTAGATGTGGGTTCTGCAGATGTGAACTAAAGAGAGGGGAATCAGTATTTTATGGATGTAAATGTTGGGGACATGGCCCAGATGGCACGGCACAGGGTAAGACCTCAAGATTAGACACATGCCCTTTGCCAAGAGCCAGCTGTGTGACTCTGAGAAAGTTCCTAACACTCTGAGAGATTTATAGGTAATGAACCCAATACATAGTAGGTGACTAATAAATAGTAGTCACTATTTTATGTGGGACAAATAGGAGATTTCCACAATATTTATAAATATCTCATTAGATATGTTTCAAAATAATTAGTGAGTGATGTTCACTTCTAAGACATCTATTTTATTTATTTTTTAAAAAAAATTAATTAATTTAATTAATTTATTATTTTTGGCTGTATTGGGTTTTCATTGCTGCATGCAGGCTTTCTCTAGTTGTGGCGAGCGGGGGCTACTCTTCATTGTGGTGTGCGGGCTTCTCACTGCAGTGGCTTCTCTTGTTGTGGAGCACGGGCTCTAGGTGCATGGGCTTCAGTAGTTGTGGCGCGCAGGCTTCAGTAGCTGTGGCTCACGGGCTCTAGAGCGCAGGCTCAGTAGTTGTGGTGCACGGGCTTAGTTGCTCCGCAGCATGTGGGATCTTCCAGGACCAGGGCTCGAACCCATGTCCCCTGCATTGGCAGGCGGATTCTTAACCACGACGCCACCAGGGAAGCCCTCTAAGACATTTAATGATGAATCCTAAAGTGCATCGGTATTATTCTAGAGCAGCAGTTCTAAATTGAAGGCAATTTTGGCCCAGGGAACACTCGGCAATGCCTGGAGACATAGATTGGTTGTCACAATGGGGGACGTGATGGTGTCACTCCTCCTGTCTAGTAGGTAGAGGCCAGGGGGCAATGCTGAACATCCGTAGGACACCTGCCACAACTGAATTATCAGGTCCAACATGTCAGTGTGCTGAGGTCGGGAAGCCTCGCTCTAGTGATGGACGGCTGCTCCTCTAGACCTGAGCAAGATGTATGGGGTACCCACCTGTCCAGATGCTAGCTCCTGGCTCCTCTCTCTTTCCCTCCCTCCCTCTCCTCCTTCTTTTCCCTCTCCCTTCTCACGCCCTCCTACCCTTTTTATTCCATGTCTAATCCACACCAAATACTGTACGTTCCACCTGCAAAATACATCCAGAATGTAAGCAATGCTGATCACTCTTCTGCCACCACGCTGATCCCAGCCCCCATTGTCTCTCCCTGATGTCCCTGCACCTGTCATGGCCACCTCAACACAGCAGGAAGGTGTTAGGACACATCATGTCTCTTCTCTGCTCAGAGGCCTCGGGCACCCTTCCACCTGGTTCAGAGTACAAGCCACAGCCCTCATCACGACCACAGGTGCTAATGACCTTCTCTGGCCACTCGCCCCCCTTCCTCATGGGCCTGGTGTCCAGCTCACCTGCTCTGTTCCCTGCTCTGTACTCCCATGGAGCCCACCAGGAAGGCTTCTGCCTCAGGGCCTTTGCACTCACTGCTCTCTGTACCTGAACCCTTCCTTTTCCAGATAACTGCATGTTTAACTCCTAACCTCATTCTAATGCTCCAGAAACTTCATCTTTGCAGACATCCTGTTCAAAACTGAACCCCTGCATCCATCCCCAGGTCTCGCTCTCTATCCACCTTCTCTGCTCAGTTTTTCTCCATCAAACATTTAATAACTGTCTAGGACACTATATATTTTGCTTGTTTATTTTGTTGGCTGTCTTTCTTACTGCTCTAGCCCTAGGTCAGGGCTTAGAGCTTAGCTTCTCAACTCCTATCTCCTGAACAAAGACATGTACATAGCCAGGGTTTGCTTGTTTGTTTGTTTAAGAGGAAAGTACTTTAAAAGATAGAATTGTTCCACAACAAAGTACCTATAAACTCCCAAGCCACTTTGCAAAATCCAACAGAAGCAACCACATTTGCTTATTTCCTTTATTGTAACTGTGGACAGTCCCAGAATTGTTCAGTTTGCATCTATTTAAAAAGGAACTACAGGGACTTCCCTGGTGGTTCAGTGGTTAAGAATCTGCCTGCCAATTCAGGGGGCATGGGTTCGAGCCCTGGTCCAGGAAAATCCTGTACACCGTGGAGTAACTAAGCCCACGAGCCACAACTACTGAAGTCCACGTGCCTTAGAGCCCATGCTCCGCAACATTAGAAGTCATTGCAATGAGAAGCCCGCGCACCGCACCGCAGCGAAGAGTAGGCCCCACTTGCCACAACTAGAGATATGAAGCAATGAAGACCCAAAGCAACCAAAAATAAATAAATAAATAAATAAATTTTTAAAAAAAGGAACTACATAATTTTCTTGGCCTTGGGCACCTTTCATCTAAGCAATCAGTAAAAGGATTACCCTGTTAGGTCAGTGGTTTAAATGCAGGCAGAAAAAACACTGCACTCGGGATGAGAGTGGCTAGTTTAAACAGACTTTTAACCTTTTAACTTCTTCCTCAGTCCTGCTTCCTGAAAAGGAATCAGTCTTCAAGGCATTTTTTAGGAGTGGTTGAAATTTGCTATGGAGACCTTCTCCTGGTTAAATTTAGTTTTTCAAAGTGCTGGACAATTAAAAAAAATTTTTTTTTTAAAACAAACTTGCTGAGTGAATTCCGTCACGTGCCAGGCGGCGGGCTAGGTGCTGTGATCAGCACTGCCCCTCAAATCCTGCTCAGAAAACACCGGTGTTTCAAGTGGGGACAGCTTTCAGCAAACCAACATGTTTATTCAAACACACACTGATCGAGCGGGGACTGCGTTCCAGTTCTAGGCACTTGGGAGACACCAGAGAAAGGCACAAAAAGCCGCGCCCTCATGGGCTTACGTCCACAGGTTTACTGAATGAGGGAGCCTCCCAGAAAGGTCTAGTGAGCTGGGGGATACAGAATTAGCTTAAAAGACGCTCCCTCTCCCTAGGGAAATTTAAACTACCAGAGGAGCGAGGTGTGGAGCAGGGTTGGTGGTGACGTTTGCCCGAAATCCCTTCTGGCCTCACCAGGATGGTGAATTCATCCACTGTGTCCTGACTCAAAGCTTTCTTGAGCAACTATTATGTGCTGGAGACTCTTCACCAGGCCGAGTGAGGAGCAAAACAGAAACAGTCCCTTCCTCATGCCCCTTACTTTCCAGAGAGGGATACTGCACGGAGAATAAGCAGCGTAACTCTATTACAGAGTGGTGAGAAAATAAAGCTGGGTAAGGACTTGGAGAGAAAGGGGATGGGAGAGGTACTGTAAAAAGCTTGGGAGGGGGTGGGCAGTAACGGTGGGCAGAGCTCCGATTTGCGGGGCAGGAAACACGGAGCAAGGCAGGAGTTGCGCAAGGCCGGTCCTCCCCGGCTGAGGCGCCCTTACCCCACCCGCGCGCGTCTGAGTCTCAGCGCGCCGCCCCCGACTTCTGCAGGGAACCCGAGGACTCGGCGCGGCCTCGGCAAACAGCGCCCCCCGGTGTTCACACTAGAGCATCACCATTGTCTCAAATAAGTACCGGGTCCCACAGGCCGAGTGTGTTAGAAGCATTTCGAGGTTCACTCCATGAAAGAAGGAAGATGGAAAGATTTCGTTAGTCGTCATCGCAACTGCCAAAGTCAAATTTTCACTCCCAAGTTTTAAGTGGCGTTGGCTGTCCACTTCTCAACTAGAAAACAGCATAATCGTCTTCTTGCCAAAGTGAACGAAACAAAACAAAAACGACACTAGCAAGCGCCCCTCCGTCCTAATCACCAACAGTCGGAGGACGGGTCCTCGCAGACCCTCACTCCAAAAAAACTCCGTGCGCCCGGCCCCGGGGCCACACTTGCACCCACGGAGGAGGAGAGCCTGGGGGGCCGGGCTGGAGCCTATGCCCCGCGGGACTCTGAGGTCAGCAGGCCCGGGCCGCGTCCCTGCGCTGCGTCCACCCCCGACCCGCCTCCTCGCACGCCGCTCTCCATCCGCCAGCCGCCCCCACCTGATGCCCGACTTGGCGCTCCTACCTGCCTGAGTCTTCCGATCGCTTCGCGGCGGAAAGCACCGCCCGCCCCGGGGAAAGGTCGCGGGTCCACCTGGGCGGGCGGGGGCCAGGTGCGGCGCACGGCGCGCGGCGCGCGGCGCGGGCGGGACGTGGGGGGCGGGGTCCGAGGCGAGGTCCGGGGCGCCGGGCGTCTGGAGGGCGGGGCTGGGGGCGGGGCCGGGGCGCCCTGGACCTGGGGCCGACCGCCGCGGTCTGGGCGCCCGAGGTGGCCGTCGGTCTCGGTCCCAGGCTCCAGCCCAGCGTGGAGACGCGCTTCCTCTTCCGCATTCCCAGGCGTCCGGAGGAGAGGGTGCAAGTTCGGGGTCCCCGCGAGTCCGAGTCTCCGCGAGTCCCGGGTCTGAGCAGCCTCGGCGCGTCCGGCTGCTCTAGCCGCACCCCGGGCGCACGGGCCAGAGGGCGCGGGAAAAAGGGAGGGGGGCCTCCTGCCGGAAGATGAGGAAGCCCGACGGGAAGATCGTACTTTTGGGGGACATGAACGTGGGCAAGACGTCGCTGCTGCAGAGGTACATGGAGCGGCGCTTCCCGGACACGGTCAGCACGGTGGGCGGTGCCTTCTACCTGAAGCAGTGGCGCTCCTACAACATCTCCATCTGGGACACTGCAGGTGAGGGGTGAGGGGCTTCCAGCTGGAGAGAAGCGTCCCCCAGGGCAGGGGTCCCTCAGAGCTGGGGTCTCCCAGGGCAGGGTCCCCCAGGGCAGGCGCGTCCTGCCCCACACACGATCCGGCCCTTGCTCCGCAGGTGTCTGCATCTCCGGGATCAGGCCCCTAGTCACAGTGTGGGACCACCCTTGGCCCCTCTTACTTGACTCCTTTGCTGGTTGGGAAACTGTTCAGCCACTGGGTGCATCTTAGCGACAGTCCAGGAGAACATCCTGGGCTCCAGAGAGTGTGCTGGTGACTGTGTACCAGAGCACCCAGCCCAGCCAGCTAGTGGCAACCAGAGGCATTTAAGTGCTCCCACCGACAGGATCTCAGCTGCTATCTACAACAGCCTTGCTGAGGGGTGAGCAGAGCTAGTATAAATTACCTGTCCTTACAAAAGAGAAAACAGAGGCTCTGAACTCCCTGAGCGTTTAGGCAGGAAAGTAGGAAGCAGAACTCAGGTCTCCTCCCTCAGTGCCAGGCATGTCTGCATTTTCCACTTATCAGCCGTGTGATCTAGGCTCATGTGTGTTATGGGGTTTTGAAGTGATTGTAGAAGCATTTTTAAGATAGGTAATAATTATTTTTAGTGCGTGTAGTATATTTGTGTTTTTTCAAAAGTACAGTATATCAGAGGATCTTGATTCAAGCTTTCAGTTTGTTAACTCAATAATTACACTGACGTTAGAGTGTTACAATAGAATATATTTCCTTCCCCATGAAAACGAATAAGGTACCGCAAGTAAATAAACTGTAAATAGTATGGCCCGTTTGCAATGAGCATGACTTTTTGAAAGCCTGAAACTTTAAGGTCTGACTTTTTAAATGTCTGCACGTAAGTTTTTTATTTGTTTTGTTTTGTTTTATTTTACCTTGTGCCATGCGGCTTGCAGGATCTTAGTTCCCTGACCAGGGATTGAACCTGGGCCCATGGTGGTGAAAGCACAGAGTCCTAACCACTGGACCGCCAGGGAATTCCCTAAATGTCTGCACTTTAAAAAGTGATATGTATACTGGAAGGTCTGGTCCAGAATTTTAAAATTGCCAACTTGGGTGCACCAGTCAGCTGAATAAACAGGATTATAACTTACCTTGTTTTTAAAACTGAATTAATGAAGGCCACTCTCGGACGTCTACCCCTCCGCTCCCTCCCTCTTTCTCTGCTGCTGTCTTTTTTGTTGTTACGGCTGTTAACATCTTGACTAATTTATTTGAAAACATGCTCTGAAAACAGCATGTACAAGTGTACATGCTCCCTCCCAGGTACAAGTGTACCTTCCCTGCTCTGTTCTCCAGCTCCAGGCTTCAGAGTGAGTGAAGTTCCTCTATGATCCTTTACCTAAGCTGACTCTCCGGCACTAAGCATTTGGTAGCGATGGAACGAGGGCGGTAGAAATCAGACCACGTTAACACAATGTGTCTGCCTGTTTGGTACAAGGCTGGTCCTGAGGCTCCTTTGGTTGACTGGTTGGGCCTCACTGCTGTCCTTGGTTTATAAGAGGGTGATGCAGGGTTGGAGCTGGGAGACCCAAACCCAGAGCCCTGTGGTGGCTGCTGTTGGAAGCTGACCTTTACCACGTGGCGTGGTGGTTCTGGAACAGGAGCTGACCGTTGGTGTCAGAGCAGGCGTCTTGGCATGCAAGGTATGAAGGAGCAGTGTAATTTTGATCAACCACTTTATTCTTCGGTGCCAAGGACGTGGTGCAGCTGGATTCTTGACTGCCAGAGGATTTTGTAATAAGGCTGATGAGATGTCCTCGGTATCTTGTTGGGCTCCCGGGGGCAGCGACTCAGTTCCTGGCTGCCCGGGCTGCCGCCTTCTTCCCGGAACCCTGAGTGTGGGCACTGGGGGCCCCACGCCCCTTCTCCACATTGCTCACCTCCTGTGTACACACATTCAGGGTGACCGAGGCTCAGAGGCAGCAGTGACACAGGCCACCTCTGTGCCTGGCTCCCCAAGGACGGTGGGGTTATGTGCAGCTTGGAGGGAAAAGGCAGGTATGAATCTTTGCCTCTTAGGTAATCCTTGTTGGAAATGCAAAAGTTTAACTTTTAGGCGATTCTCTCTTTTTTCCTCCTTTTGCCTTTTGCCCTTAAAGTTTCTTTATATTCCACATTGTCTTCTAAGTTGCGTTCGTTTTAATTTTTGTAGCTGAGGCAGAAGGACGGGGAGCAGCTAGAGGATGCACGGTTTTGATCGCCGCTCTTGGTCACGTGGCATGGGTGGGGTGGGAGGGTGTTGAATAAGAAAAATGACAGCTGCTGCCCGAAGCCTGCCGGCGGAGCGGTGAGTGAGCCAGAGCGCGGAGAGGAGATTTGCTGGGCTCTTAGGTAGTTCTCTCAGTCAGCTGGCACAGGACTGCTTCCAAGGGAGTGTGGCAGTAGATGGGGCTGGAGCTGGTTCCACCAAGTTTCTCGAATTCTCCCAGGCTCTGCTCGTTGCCCAATTCCAAAGCCACTTCTGCATTCATTACAGCAGCATCCCACTCCCAGTATCAGTTTATTTTCCTACTGCTGTCGTAACCAATGACCACAAACTTAGTGGCTCCAAGAGAGATGAGATTCAGAGCACTTGGTTTAAGATCTTTCCCTTGAACAACTTTAGTGCAACTCAGGAGAGGATGCTGCAGTTCTGGGTCGTGAAATCGCGGTTCCTGGGGGAGGGGAATGTAATTGCTCACGCCGTGAAGTTAGCTAGGAGGTCTGGACCTCCTGTGCAGGACCGAGAGAGCCTGCATCCTGTGAACGGCTGTGCTGTCCTGGGGGAGCATCTGTGGGGCGTGAGTGAAGATGCCAGAAGACATGGACTGTCCATCTGAGGACCACGAGCCCTGGTCACGCTCCTTCTGCTCTGTGTGGAAGCCGCAGCCCCCGGCCCCGCTTCTAGGCAGCTGCTCCTGGATCCGGGGGATGGTGGGGATGCTGTGTCGGAAGTGGGGTTCATTCAGGTTGGAAGAGGCGGCAGCGTTGTGGACCCGCCTGGAGAAGAGCCGTCTTTGCCAGGGGACGCGGAGTTGCCGATCCTTGACGCTTTGGACCGGCCTGCGAGGGCTGTGTGTTTAGCCTTGCGAGACTGGCGCAGAAGTGGGTGGACAGCCTGCACAACGTGTGCACAGAGCCAGCGGTGCAGGACTCGGCTTTTAGCTCTCTTAATTTATTAGTGTAGCTGCTGAGTGGGTTTTGAGGTCCTAATCCCGACAAGCAGCATTGGTGTGACACGGGGCATCTAGCGGATGACCTCCCCTTTCTGCAGATCTGGGGGCTGACCTGGGCCTCACCGTTGCCCTATGTAGTGTTATTGGCGCCCCGCCCATCCAGTGTTTTACAGCAGCAGAGCTGAGTGGCTGCCGGAGAGACCATAGAGCACAGAAAGACAAAAACATTCACCCTGGCCCTTTGCAGAAATAGTTTGCTGACTCCTGGTTTAGGTCACATAAAAAGGAAAGTACTTTTCTAAAAGTCTTTCTGTAGTTTTAGAAACTCCCCGAAGAGTTTAGCATTTAGGGATTGAGGAGACCCCTGGTTCAGTTAAACTCGACACGCAGCTCTCAGATTTCGCCTGGGTGTCCACTCAGAGCTAGACTGGGGGAGGGTGGGGCCTGGATTTAAGATTAGCCTGGGCTTCTACTGAGAAACTGTTCTTGGAAATAAATCTTAGATTAGGTTTGGGATCTGGAAGCTAAGCCTGCAAAGCCTGTGTTGTAGGTGGTCCATGTCTTTGTGGGTGGTCCACGTCTTGGTGGGTGGGTCAGTGTCTTTGTAGGTGGTCCACATCTTTGTAGGTGGTCCATATCTTTGTGGGTGGTCCATGTCTTGGTAGGTGGGTCAGTGTCTTTGTGGGTGGTCCACATCTTTGTAGGTGGTCCATATCTTTGTGGGTAGTCCGTGTCTTGGTAGGTGGGTCAGTATCTTTGTGGGTGGTCCACATCTTTGTGGGTGGTCCATGTCTTGGTAGGTGGGTCAGTGTCTCTGTGGGTGGTCCACATCTTTGTGGGTGGTCCACATCTTTGTGGGTGGTGGTCCATGTCTTTGTGGGAGGCCCACCTCTTTGTGGGTGGGTCACATCTTTAGCACTACTGAAGATTTTGAATGGGCGCCCTCTGGGGTCAAGTCGTCATTTGTAGAATTCCTTTGCTTTCTTGAGCAGAAACAGTGACCTGAATATGAATGTGGGTATTAGGGTAGGTGGAAGAAAATCTACTGTCTGGACTCAGCAGGGTGGACAGAGAGCCATTGTACGGAGAGATCTCAGAGGACGAAGGCTGCCAGGGCACAGCTGCACGTGCTGGGAGGTCCGCCCGGAGTCTCCCTGGAGGAGGTGCTGGGAATTCTGGGGGTGGGTGGGGGGAGGTATTTAAGGCTCACTAGTGTGGTGCAATTCGGGAGACTTTAACTAATTGAGGTCCACCACATTTGTGAACTAATAGCTGGATCATGTTAATGTCTCTGGGCGATAATTCCACGCTTCGTCGTCTTTAAGTTCGCAGGAGAAATAGAAACTTTATGATTCCTAATTGAACCCCTCTCACTTTGCTGAGACTTCACAGAACTTCCCTCTCTGTGAAAAAGAAATTTTACACACATGTACATGTGTGTACATACATGAATTTAAAGGAGTTTTTATTCTTAGAATGAGGGCTTCGTCACTGTGATGACAGACTCTTGTGAGCCCTTTCCTCTTGTCCTCCTGTTATGGAGTCAGGTGCCTCAGGGCTGAGCCAGAGGTGATATTTGGAATTAGTCACACGTGCCCTGTCTGCCTCTGTTTTCACCTTTGCTTGTGGCATCTCTCTCTCCGGGACGTCCCCTCTCCTGGCGATCCCCATCTTGGATTTTGTCCCATCTTCCAATGTCACATACTTTGTGAAGCAGTCATGGGAGCGCCAGATTTCTGCTTGCTGCAGACTGTACTACCACGTGACCTGGTGTGCCTTACTGCGTTCTCTGCCTTTTATCTGTTT